GTACTTTTTACAGGAAATACGTAACATATACATATAACACTGCATATAAACAACTGCAATTGTCTTTTTTGTTAAAAAGATTGTCTCATTTTTGCATAGTAACTACACAATAACATAATATAAGATATCTTTTGATAATAATAAAGAGAATACATGTGATATTTTTTCCTTTCAAACATTATCGGACATAAAATTCTTATAATACAGCGTATAAACTTTAATATCTTTGCACGACGGAGTGAAATAGCATTGAGACCGAAAAAAATTATCATCGTGGAGCACGTTACGAAGTTTCAACTTCGTGAGAGAAGCGCCACTTCTCTCCCGAGTTGTGGCGCGGTATCTCTCTCATCTATAAATTATAATATGTAAATTGTGCGTAGCGGTAACTGGAGAGGGAGAAGGAGGGATGGTGTACTCGATATGCATTTACGGTGGTAGAGATAGGTGGTCTGGCAATTACAGCGGCTTACTGTACATACAAATGGCGTTCTCTGTTTAGTACCATTTACCACTCTCTCTGGGCACGACCGAGGCAACCCCGCGCACCGAAATTCACCCTACCGAAAGTCGCAGTTATATGAAACCAGGCACTACCGAGGAATTACCAAAGTAAGAAGTCGCTTTGATAGTCTGGCGCGCAATCTTCTTTTTTCCCCACTTTCCTCGTGCCAACCGGGGCCATTGTTTAAAGTCCTTGTGTTCGTCCTTATGGAATTTCTCCTTCGCCCGAGGAATTTTCCGACCAAACAGGATGCAACCATTGAATAAAATATTTTCGTATGCATAAAAAGAGAGTTTATCTTCATTATAATTTGTAATCAAATTGCAAACTAGAGATTTATTTAATATCGTTATGTGATAATCTTTTCAATCTTTATATAAGACTAGCCAGCCCCGCGGCTTCGCCCGCGGTTTCTATTTTTTTTATTTTCATTTTTTTAGTCTTATTTTTTTACTTTTAAATTTATTTATAACACTTCTGGATACATGATGTTTATTATTTACCTACTTTAATCAAAGCAATAAAATCGGTTCATTAATGCAATGATCGCAAAAAGATGCACATTTCGGGCCGATTTCTGAAACGACGCTTACTGTCCCCCCACTACAGCTCGAGTACAAATTAAACCCATCGTCGCAATCCCCGAAAAATTAGAAAAATTTTTGCACTGGTCTCTAAAAAATCGTTAAACATTTTTTTTTATCGTCGTAAAAATCAAACCCCATGGTAGCCTATTTCATGTGTAACATTCTTTAAGATTTGGTCCATTAATGAATGAGTAGTTCGCGAACAAACGAACACTCAAACCAAATATAGAATCACATGTTAAAATGGCTCAGTCGTCTCGGAGAACATCCTAACAAAAAATCGAATTCCATGGTGACCATGCCCGGAAATTTCTACCCCTATTTTATATATAATTCTTAAAAATTTGGACCATTAATGAATGAGTAGTTCGCGAACAAACAAACAATCAAACAAACTTTTTCTCTTTATATAATTATAATAATAGAGATTACACACAATATTATACGTGGGATTCAGGATAATTTACTCTACAATGCTATAAACTATGCTATCATTATGCATAAAATATACTGTATTGATTTTCTTTACACTTCAGCTTGCTTTTCAATCATTATAAATTTTCATTAGAATCGTCAAAAAAGTTTTTTATTAAAAATGTAATACATGGAGTTAGAAAATAAGATCTTATCAGAAGTATACTTTGCTTTATTATTTTTTCAGCATTAGTCATTTAGTTCGCAACTACAACGATGTACACTTCGATCCTTCATGGTTCGAGTACTGTGCATTATTTTCAAGAGAAATAGTAAAAATCGGAATTGATCGTCCAGTAAATGTGCTATAAATTTTAACACAAATTTATTAAAGGGAATGTGCGCCGTAAACTAATTGATTTTTATCTGTAAATGGAATTTTTAATATACTTTCAAAGCGTTCGATATAAAGTTATCCAATGTACTCTTTCTCTCTCTCTCTTTTTTCTCTCACATACGATTCAATACAGTGAATATACGAGGGTCGGTACAAAAGTAATGCCTCCTAATTTTTTTTTCGAATCTAGCGCCATAAAAAATTTTGCGTTTCACTGAGTTGTTACTTGAAGTCTTTAATTGCATTATGTTGAGTGGCATTGTTATGTGAGTATGTGACACGAACAGTTCAAACTGGTGTGTGTTTCCAGATATGCGTATCAAACAAGAACAATAATTGAATTTTTTACCGTGGAAAAAATAAGTTGTAATGGCTGCGTTCAGCAAAGAAAACAGCTCAATGTGTGCTCAATGATTCTTTATTACAATTTTTATTGTTTCTACACTTGGATCTAAAGAAGAAGGCAAGGACCAGTCCAAGACCAGTCATTTAAAAAAAA